GTTATCTCATATGTGAAGGCTCGACGCATGGTCGAGAAGGGGTGTTTAGATTATCTGGCGTATGTTCGTGATTCCAGCACAGAGGTTCCTTCTATTGACTCTGTTCCTGTTGTTCGGGAGTTCCCCGAGGTTTTCCCTTCAGACCTGTCGGGTATGCCGCCCGACAGGGATATTGATTTTTGTATTGACCTGGCTCCGGGCACTCAGCCCATTTCTATTCCGCCGTATCGCATGGCCCCGCCAAAGCTGAAGGAGTTAAAGGACAAGTTGTAAGATTTGCTAGAGAAGGGTTTCATCAGGCCTAGTGTTTCTCCTTGGGGTGCGCCAGTGTTATTTGTGAAGAAAAATGATGGATCGATAAGGATGTGCATTGATTACCGGCAATTGAACAAGGTGACGATAAAGAACAAGTATCCACTGCCGAGGATTGATGATTTCTTTGACCAGCTTCAGGGTGCAAAGGTGTTTTCAAAGATAGACTTGAGATCTGGCTACCATCAGCTGAGGATTAGGGCGTCTGATGTCCCTAAGACAGCATTCCGCACTCGGTACGGGCATTATGAGTTTTTGGTCATGTCATTTGGGTTGACCAATGCCCCAGCAGCATTTATGGAGTTGATGAACCGAGTGTTCAGGCCTTATCTAGATTTGTTCGTGATAGTCTTTATTGATGATATTCTGGTGTACTCCCGCAGCCAGGAGGAGCACGAGCAGCACCTCAGAGTGGTTCTTCAGACTCTGAAGGATAGTCAGTTATACGCTAAGTTCTCGAAGTGCGAGTTCTGGTTGAGTTCAGTTGCATTTCTAGGTCATGTCGTATCAGCAGAGGGTATTCAGGTGGATCCGAAGAAGATTGAGGCAGTCAAGAACTAGCCTCGACCAGCATCAGCTACCGAGATTCGGAGTTTCTTGGGGTTAGCAGGTTATTACCGTCGATTCGTGGAGAGATTTACATCTATTGCAGCCCTGATGACCAGGTTGACCCAGAAGGGTGCCCAGTTCAGATGGTCAGACGAGTGTGAGGAGAGCTTTCAAAAGCTCAAGACAGCTCTAAATACGACACCGATATTGTTTTTGCCCACAGACTCAGGACCTTATACAGTTTATTGTGATGCTTCCCGTATTGGGCTTGGTGCGGTATTGATGCAGGATGGCAGAGTCATTGCTTATGCTTCGAGGCAGTTGAAGATCCACGAGAAGAATTATCCGGTTCATGATCTCGAGTTGGCAGCCATTGTTCATGCTTTGAAGATTTGGAGGCATTACCTATATGGTGTGACGTGTGAGGTGTACACTGATCACAAGAGTCTGCAGTACTTGTTCAAGCAGAAGGAGTTGAACTTGAGGCAGAGGAGGTGGTTGGAGCTATTGAAGGATTATGATGTTACTATTTTGTACCACCTGGGGAGAGCCAATGTGGTGGCCGATGCATTGAGTAGGAAGTCCGCCAGCATGGGTAGTCTTGCTTATGTTCTGGTCAGCCAGAAACCGCTTGCTTTGGATATTCAGGCCCTGGCCAATCGATTTGTGAGGTTGGACATTTCTGAGCCTAGCAGAGTGTTAGCTTGTACGGTCGCTCGTTCTTCATTATTGGAGTGTATCCGTGATCGGCAGTTTGATGATCCACAATTGTGTGTCCTGAGAGACACGGTGCAGCGTGGAGGTGCCACGAAGGTGAATTTAGATGATGATGGTGTTTTGAGATTGCAGAGGTGAGTTTGTGTGCCCAATGTCGATAGGATTCGAGAGTTGATCTTAGAGGAGGCCCATAGTTTGCGGTATTCTATTCACCCGGGCGTCGCGAAGATGTATCAGGACTTGCGGCAGCATTATTGGTGGCGTAGGATGAAGAAAGATATTGTTACATATATGGCTCGGTGTTTGAACTGTCAGCAGGTCAAGTATGAGCATCAGAGGCCTGGTGGTTTGTTTTAGAGGATTGAGCTTCCCGAGTGGAAGTGGGAGAGGATTACCATGGATTTCGTTACCGGACTTCCGATGACTCGGAAGAAGTTTGACGCTATTTGGGTCATTGTTGATAGGCTGACCAAGTCAGTGCATTTCATTCCTGTTGCAGCCACTTATTCATCGGAGAGGTTAGCTGAGATCTACATCCGAGAGATTGTTCGCCTTCATGGGGTGCCGGCATCTATCATTTCGGACCGGGGTACACAGTTTACCTCGCGCTTCTGGAGAGCAGTTCAGCAGGAGTTAGGCACCCAGGTTCAGTTGAGCACAGCGTTCCATCCTCAGACGGACGGCCAGTCCGAGAGGACTATTCAGATATTGGAGGATATGCTCCGAGCCTGTGTCATTGATTTTGGAGGCTCGTGGGACCAGTTTTTGCCTTTAGCAGAGTTCGCCTACAACAACAGCTACCAGTCCAGCATTCAGATGACTCCATATGAGGCGTTGTATGGTAGGCGATGTCGGTCTCCAATCGGATGGTTTGAGCCGGGAGAGGCTCGGTTATTGGGTACAGATTTAGTTCAGGAGGCCTTGGATAAGATCAAGATCATTAAGGACAGGCTTCGTTCGGCTCAGTCGCGGCAAAAGAGTTATGCGGATCGTAAGGTTCGAGATGTAGCTTTCATGGTTGGTGAGCGGGTCTTGCTCCGAGTGTCGCCTATGAAGGGCGTGATGAGATTTGGGAAGAAGGGCAAGCTTAGCCCTAGGTTCATTGGCCCATTTGAGATTCTCGATCGTGTGGGAGAGGTGGCTTA